ACTCCACCGGCAATTGGAGGTTCCATCTCCAACAAGACCCCAACGAGCAACGACCCCCGACGAGACCACTGCATTGACCAGCCTTGCGTCTTCCCGAACCAAGGCTGCACACCTTCCGGATGAATTAACCTCACCTCCGCCCGGCTCCGAAACCCGCCACCATGGCCGTGTCCCCCCTCATCGTCCATCCCACCGAGGGAACGACGCTACTCCCCTCTCGCCCTCTCTCGTCGCCCCTGAAACGCCAACAACAACAGCAGCAGGCCGGCAACTCGGCCGTCCCCTCTTCCAATGGCACGCCCGCCCTGGGCCAGGACATCCAGGCCGGGCTCGGGATGTCGCTGGACCTCGTCGAGCAGATGAACGAGGACGAGAAGCGCAAATACGTCAAGGGTCGCAAGCTCGGCGAGGGTACCTACGCCAACGTCTACCTCGGCCACTCGCGCCACGACCCCTCGGTGCGCGTAGCCATCAAGAAGATCAAGGTGCAAAAGGAGTTCCGCGACGGTCTCGCCCCTGACGCCGTGCGCGAGCTCAAGCACCTGCAAGAACTACACCACCCCAACATTATCAACCTCCTCTCCGTCTTCAGCTCCAAGGACCAGAACCTCAACCTCGTCCTCGAGTACCTCCCCCTCGGCGACCTCGAGGAGCTCATCCGCGACGTCGACCGCGTGCGCTACGGCGCCGCCGACATCAAGGCCTGGATGGGCATGCTCACGCGCGCCGTGTGGTTCTGCCACGACAACTGCGTCCTGCACCGCGACATCAAGCCCAACAACTTGCTCATCGCCGCCGACGGCGAGGTCAAGCTGGCCGATTTCGGCCTCGCCCGCTCCTTCGCCGACCCCGGCCGCAAGATGACGGCCAACGTCATCACGCGCTGGTACCGCCCGCCCGAGCTCCTCTTCGGCGCCCGCCACTACTCGGGCGCCGTCGATGTGTGGTCCGTCGGCTGCGTCTTCGCCGAGCTCGTCGTCCGCGCCCCCTTCCTGCCGGGCAACTCCGAGGTCGAGCAGATCGCCCTCATCTGCCGCCAGATCGGCACCCCGACCGAGGACAACTGGCCCGGCGTCACGCAGCTCAAGGAGTACACGGTGCCCAGCGACGTGACGCCCGTGTGGGACAAGTCGGCCTACATGGGCCGCTTTGGTGCCGTCGGCGCCGAGGGCGTCGACCTGCTCATGCGCACCTTCGCGCTGGATCCGAGGAAGCGCATCACGGCCCGCGAGATGCTCGAGCACAGGTGGTGGCGGACGGACCCGCGCCCGACGCGCAAGGAGGAGCTGCCGCGCAAGCAGGACGGGGGGGAGGACAAGATGGGGTCGGATCTGAAGCGGCGGAATGGAGTGGTCGAGGACGAGGGTAACAATGCCCGCGGGGCAAAGGTGGCGAGGAAGTTGGACTTTGGGGGGATGAAGTAGGCGTCACCAGGAATATATACAGGACACAAAAGGGGGGCATCATCGGGTGTTTGGCGTCATGGGCGGCGGGGATTTGCAAGACAACCACGGGGGAAATGTCAAAGAGGAGGCGTAACCTGGAATCATGCTGAATTTGGTCCCTATATAAAAAATGATGCGCTTATATCAAACCCACAAATGCCATGTATCCGTCTTGTTCCGTTCACATTACAACACACTCCAGCCCGTACATGGCCCTCTCCACGTCCCTCTTGACCTGGTACCAGTCCGCCCGCCTCTCGGCGTACTCGTACACCTCCTCGGCCCTGAAGACGCCCGAGAAGCGGTCGCCGTCGGCGATGATGGTGGCCATCTCCTTGGCGTGCGAGTGCGCGTCAATCAGGTAGATCTGGCTCAGCTCGCGCAGCGCGCGAAAGTAGGCCAGCAGGTCGGCGTTCTTGAGCGTGCGCACGTAGTCAAAGTACAGGTTCATGTCGGCGATGAGCTTGATGGCGCCCTCGGTGCTGACGCGCTGCCGCTTGAGGTGCTTGCACACGGCGGCGAAGAGGCGCAGGCCGACCTCGCCGTTGAAGACGTCGAGCATCGACTTGTCGGTGCTGCCGACGAGCATCTTGGTGTGCGACTCGACGAGGTCGCGGATGCGGCGCGCCGTGGGGGTCGGCCCGATGTCGTCGAGGCCGAGCGACAGGGCGGGGGAGGGCGTCGCCGCCGCCGCTGGCTTCTCGGCGCTGTTGGGATCCACGCCGGCGGCCGAGGGGTTGTAGTCGGTCGGCAGCTGCGTCGTGGCGCACAGGTACTCGACCTCGTCCATGAGCACGTCGATGCCCTTGTTGAGGCCGGCGGCGACGCTCTCGTCGAGCATCTGCTCAAACTTCTTCTTGGCGAGGCCGGCGGGGTCGAGGAAGTCGTTGCGGTCGGCGATGCGCGGGCCCGCGAGCTGCTGCTCGTAGAAGACGTCAATCATCTGCGAGATGAGGTCGCCGACGTTGACGAGCTCGATGAACGTCACGAGCGGCGCCACGCCGCTCTCGTGCTGGCTGACCTCGCGCGGGTTGTACTGCGACAGGTGCGCCACGGCCTTGTCGAAGCCCGGCTTGACGTGCCGCCCGCCGAGGATGCGCAGGAGCGTGACGAAGATGGCCTCGCACTGCTCGCGCGCCTCGCCGCCGGCCTGGCCGCCGAGCTGGATGAAGACGGCCACGCGCCCGAGGCTGGCCTTGGCGCTGTGCACGAGGCCGAGCGCCACTTCGATGCTGAAGAGGGACTTGATGCCTTCGAGCCGGGATGTCATGAGCGCTGCTTTGGCGGCCAGCTCGTCGTTGGGGGCCTTGCCGGGGAGGGGGCTGGAGGTCCTGTCGGGGGCGTTGGCGGCAGACAAGCTGGGCGAGTGCGGCCGCGATGGTTGGGGGGTTGCCTGCAGGGAGTTTCCGTTTGCTGCTGTCGTGGTTGACGAGGCGGGTTTGGAGCTTGCAAAGGGGGACCCTAACGGCAAGCTGAGACTTGTAGGCAGGACGGAGACGGGCATCATCACCACCTTTTTGAACGATGTCAGGAAGTCCCGCTTGTCGGCCTGCCGGTTGTTAAAATTGGCCATGTAGAATGACTCGACGCTGGCGTCCTGGGCCGAGAGCTTCTTTTCCCACTCTCCCACTTCTCGTTCGGCCTGCCTGGTGAAGCTGTCTAGCTCGTCCTGGAGATAGAGATCGAGGTGTGGCTCAAACACCTTGAGAGTAAGCTCTTTGGCTCTGGCTTCCTGGTCTGCCGCCGCCCCCTTTGGCGCCTTGAGGGTTCGGAAGAATTGCAGCGTCTGCTCAAAGAGACCCGATACGGCCTTGAGGTAGGAGGGAATACTGCGCTCATGCGTCTCGTCGAACAGCGGAGTAATGTACTCCATGATGATCTCCTCACGCACCTTGTCGACAAAGGACCAAAACACCGGACTCGGCTCAGGGAATATCCGCTCAATGATATCGGCCTGCTCGTCGACCTTTGCGGCGAGGACTTCAAAAAACCGCCGTGAAGGCTCGAGAGTGACGGTGTCGGCTGGCGCCTGGTTGACGCAGTCCATCGAATTTGCCAGCACCGCCCGATCAGTGAAGAGCGGGTGCTTCTGAATGAAGAGGTCGATGCCAGCAGCACCGCCGTTTAAAATGCAGAGGACGCCCGCGTACTTCTTCATCCGGCCGTCGACATCCCAAAACTCGTAGCCCTGCTCGAACTCGCGCAAGACGGCGCTCTCAAATATGCTCACCATGGAGGAGAGCTTCTCCTCGCGCTGTCGCCATCCTTGCGACCAGTCGCTGTTGGAAAAGACTTGCAGATTCGCCAGCATCTGAGCTTGCCGTTCGGGGTCTCGGAACACCTGGAAGACGATGGGATCCGTGTGCGTCTTGGCCTGGGCCAGGTCAAAATAAAAGGGCGCGAGGGCGCCATATATCCTCCCGTATTCCTGCCTCGCGTGGCCCCTTACGCTTTGCACATTCTTGATGACGGCCAGCAGCGTCTCGGGGTCTCTGGATTGGTCCTGTGTTGGTGTCTGGCCGGTGATCTTCATGGTTTCGAACCCGTCGTGCAAATCAGCGACGTTTTGCCGTTGAAGCTGCTGCGCCTTCCTCCGCTCCTCCTCCACGGAGGCATCGAAGAGGGTGGTGGTTATCGCCGGCCTTGGCCCCGCGCCGGTCGAGACACTCGCGCGGCTGGCCTGCTCCCGACGGCGCTTCATGGCCTCCTCGAACCGCCTGCGGGCCTCAACCTCGTCCCAGCACCCCATGCTCCGAAGGCGGGCGACCCATCGGGTATCGTCGTAGACCATCTCGCGCATGCGGCGAGAGGTGCGGGCGAAGCGCATCAGGTCGGACACGGGGAGGTAGTCGAGGATGGCGGCGATGATCTCTGGCGGCGGCAAGTGTCAGTATGGGGGGCCATCCGCGCAACTGGGGGGAGGTCGGCCATACCAGCGGGCAGCAAGGGCCTCGTGTCAATCATCTCGGCGGCCTGTAGCGTCTTCAGGATGCTTGGGCCCGAGGGGGCAGCACCGCCTGGCGCCGCCCTTCGAAAGTTGGACATGGTCGCTGCGTGTGACGAGGTCGCAAGGCCATTCGACCTGTCATGGCAGGATGGCGAGAGTCGCCGATGGTCCTTGGTCGTTGTTGATTCAGGGGTTCGGGCTCCTGTTGGCGGGGGTGTCAGTTACGCAGGGGGCGGTGAGCCACAGCGGGTGGTGCCGTTGAAGATTAGCGCTCTTTCGCCCTATATAACCCTAACCCGTATCAGCGGGAGCTGACGGCATGCGAGTCGCGGGTCTTGCTTCAACCTCACGCTCTCATTTCATCGATTTGGACATTGCAATTTGTTGACACGAGACGACATATTCCACCTCAATTCTGCTACCAGATTTACTAAAATATAGGTATCTACCTTTCTCGTATTGACGCTTTTCTCTTTGTCCCCTTCCAACGACACCCAACGCCCGTCACGAGCCAACGACGCGTCTCGAAAACAAACACCATGACAAGAAGCGTTTGTCAACCTGAGATATGACACGACATCAATTCGACCTGATCTGGCAAAAAGATGGGGGCCACCCGGGGATTGAACCCGGGACCTCTCGCAATTTGTACTTTAGGGTGAACCCTAAGCCTGTTCGAACGGTCAGTCTTGATGAATCCACAGATGTGGGTGTTTGTTGTGCAGTGAGGAGGACTTACGAGAATCATACCACTAGACCAGCGGCCCTGAGAGATGAGCCGATGGCACACTCTTTGGTGGGCGTCGGCTTCGATATCGTCACCCTTGGAGCACTTGTCCCTAGGGACATGCTTCGTGGACAAAAGAAGCTTGGGACCTCTAGGCTCCCAGCTTGACGACAAATAGGCAGGGCTCGTGGTGTGGTGCATGCTTGGAACGCGGCAATGCCCATTGGATGCCCTTTTATACCCGTATCCTTCCCGATCGTCTCCTCTTCTCCTCCCCAGTTCAAGAGCGGTGCCCCATCAATCTCGACGTTGTCGACAGCCGTACCAATTTTCAACAGAGGCGACTACCAAAACCACCATGTTCTGCCAAGCTTGCAACGACATGCTCAACGAGAGAAGCGTTAGATGGAAAGGTTCCTACAAGGCAACATTTGGTTCGGGCGATGGAAGTGGACAATTGACCAGGACCGAATCCACGACGTTGGACCCCGAGACAGACTCAGACGACAAGGCGGGCCTGTATGAATGGGACGACAGGATTCGCAGGAATCGCTTCTACCTTTCGAAACCGGGCGGCTTCGTCCACCATCATTCGGGCCGGGCATTTATGGCCGCCGCAGATGAAGGATGCCGGCTGTGCCTCCGACTTGTTTCTCAGCTGGAGCCAGAGGAGAGACTTGCAATAGCCGATGAACCCGAGGATGTCAACACCAACCCCGACGACTACGACTATGTGCTAGGCTACGCTATTACGCACCATGCAGGGAGGTTGCTGTATTCCGGGCTTTATCACCCGCAAACATTGAAAACCAGAAGGGAATATGGGATTCAGCTTTATCTCACATTCGTTCCATCAGACGGTGCGTTCAAACAATTCTTTCAACTGCTGACTTCCAACTGACTGGCAAGAAGACCAAGAACCATTACCTGGTCCTGATATCTCCTATCCGAAGATTGTGGGACAAGGTGAAATATCCCTGTCTCTCGTCCGACGGTGGATAGCGGAGTGTGAGAAGCACGAAGATTGCCGACTCCGTTCGGACTCCGATGTCTACAAGGCCCAAGGCCGTCTGCCTTTTGCACGCATCATCGATGTACAGGATGGTTCCGCAGACCCACGACTTTCCGACGTGGGTGAAGTCCCATCCGATGCCCGTTACATGACCCTGAGTCATTGCTGGGGAGACCCAGAGCACAAACCTCTGACTTTAACTCTCGATACCATTGCCATCTTGAAGACGGGCATCCAATGGAATATGCTTCCCAGGACATTTACCGACGCTATTGTCTTCACTCGAAACTTGGGAATTCGGTACATTTGGATCGACTCTTTGTGCATCATCCAGGATTCCGACGCAGACTGGGCAAACCAGTCAGCAGTCATGTGCGAGATATATTCGGGCTCATATCTCAATATTGCTGCTACCGGTGCGGCTGATTCTCGTGGTGGTTTATTTGCAGAACGAGATGAACGATCAGTCCAGCCTCTCAAGGTTCAAATTTCATCCCCGCCCCCCCCGCCTCCAGGAAAGCCGTCTTCTAGGGGTAGCGTCGCCCGATACTACGATGTTCTGGATGAAGACGAGTGGTTGAGACAAGTTGAAAGATCGCCCCTGTGTCGAAGAGGCTGGGTGCTCCAAGAAAGGGTGCTTACAAGGCGCTCTCTTCACTTTGGGAAACGACAACTTTACTGGGAGTGCACATCGATGCAAGCAGGCGAGAGTGCCCCCCTTGGTGGCTTAGGCAACGAGGACAACTTCAAGAGCTTTGATCCTCTTTTGCCACACAGGACGTCCACTGGGACTGCTCTGGTTGTGACATGGGGAAAACTAGTCCGGAAATATACTCAGTCAGGCCTCACCAAGGAAACCGACAAACTTGTTGCCATCTACGGCTTGGCAAAGGCTCTGGAAGTCCAATCAAGCATACGATACCTCACAGGGCTGTGGAATCATGGTGTTGAGCGCCAGCTCTTGTGGCATACTGGATCTCGGCCCAAGCGGCGTGCTGTCTTTTGTGCCCCCTCGTGGTCATGGGCGTCGACAAACTCCCCGGTCCAATGGCCAGATTATTGGATCATCGACACCTCCAAGCTAGTTGTTCAAGTGGTTTCTGTCCCGCCTTGCGGAAGCCTCACGACATCCACCGGAAACACCGCTCTGACGATTCGAGGCGCCCTGATACCTGGGATGCTGTCGCCTCTCTTGAATCCAGGCTACTCTGAACTCTTCACAGCTCGAACGAACCCCAATAATGGAAGGGTGTTATTTAAGTTCAGGGCTGACTCCGACTCAGAGCAAGACAACACTGGCCCTGTTCTTCTGCTGCCCATCACAATTGATGTAAGGGATGTCATAATAGTTGGCCATGGAGGTCACAATACAGTCACCGGAATAGTTCTCAAAGCCACTGACATCAAAGGAACGCTTCGACGTGTTGGCTACTTCCGATGGAGCACTGGCTACATTTCGGGCAAGGTACCACTTCGCAAGCTTTGGCTGATGGATCTTTACGACATCCCATCTGATAATGAGTCTGATTCAACAACTGATTCCTCCGATGACGAGGCTAGGGATTTCGAGAACACCCCCCTTCGCAATGCTCATGGCAACATCTCATCGAAAACCGACCCGTTGGAAGGAGTCAGTGAGGATCTATACCATCACTACGAGGAAATAGGTGATTCCGGTGATCAAGCACGCGACGCTCGTAAGAGTGGTTTTGACTGGACTCCCGTGTTTTCTGGCGGCTTCACTTTTGACTTGGTATGAAGCCAGCATTGCGGAATGGAATACGCACAACTACGACTCTCCCATCGATCTGAACACCGACTGGGCCCTCTCACCATCTGGTCCTGCCCCTGGCCAAACCAACTACGGTCTTCAAAGCACCCACAGCCAACGCCCACCTACGGATTTTCTCATTCCTTCGTTGCCCGGTAATCCGCCAACACCTTCCGCCCAGCGATCGTCTGCTCATCATGCTTAGGCTCCCGGACGACCTCCTTGATCGCTTCCTCCACCCTAATCACCAAAGAAGTCAGCAAACCACCAAAACACAGACGGAAGGATAAACTCACCACTCCGTCACCCCCTCCAACGTCAGTACCCTCTCGACATACCCCCTCGCCTCCTCCCCCAGCCACTCCTCGGCCCCCACAAATGTCTGCACCCTCAACACCACCGGCGCATAAAAGGCATCTACCGCCCCAAACTCCGCCCCCGCCAGCCACGGCCCCCCAAACCGCCTCAACCCCTCCGTCCACAGCTCATCCACCCGCTCCAGCTCCGCCGCCAGCGCCGCTCCGACCTCGCCGCGGTCCCTCTCAAACAGCCGCACCCGCAGCCCGACGTTCATGCTCATCTCGTCGCGGATGCTCTCAAAGCCCGAGTGCATCTCGGCCGTGGCGGAGCGGGCCCAGGCGCGCGCGGCCGGCGCGGCCGGGTACACGGGCTTGTCGGGGTGGGCTTCGGCGAGGTGCTCGACGATGGCGAGGGAGTCCCAGAGGACGAGGGGGGGCGAGTGCGAGGTGTCGTGCAGGCACGGGACGCGAGCGGTGGGGGAGAAGGACTTCCATTGGGGTTGGCGGAGCTGGGAGGGGATGAGGGTTTGGAGGGAGGGGGTGAAGGGGATGGCGAGCTGGCGGAGGAGGAGGTGGGGGCGGAGGGACCAGGAGGAGTAGTTTTTGTTGGTTATGAACAGGGTGTACGCGGGGGTCGGGGCGGGGGTGGTCATCTTGAGGGATGGGGCTGGGGGAGGATTTCCCGGGGTTGTTTTTCTTTTTGACTCTGAGATGATGATGATTTATGAATGATATTTCCTTTCTAGCAGTGAGAGAACACGGCGTTCGGGAGCAATGGAGTTTCGATATATATGTGTGTGGGTTCAGTCCCCCCCTTTGGACACTGAGCCGAGGTGACTCAAAGAGACGTAAACAACATACAACTGCGGCCGCGCCGGGAACCACCCCAACATCCCCTCAAACCATACAAATCTCGAGATAACCGACAGAGATACGCATGCCCTCTCCCGCAGTGCTTCCCCAGAAAGGCAGCTGTATTTGTTCGCAGTTCCACAAACAGACGAGCAGAGTGCCAGAAGGGGGGGTAGCCACGCCTTTCGATTGACCACCTACATGCCTCGAGAACACAGACACACCGACCCTTGCTTGGCTGCAGCACCGGTAGAATGCCCAACACATATGCCGTGCGCATGCATAGACGTGGTCTGGACTCCCAGTTCCAGGAGAGTCAAGTCAACCCGTGGCAAAAGGGGGTGTACGCATGTCGTTTGTCAGATCATAGGTAGACTCGAAATGCAGAGGGGCGGTTCTCCCTCCATGATAACACGTGCGTTCTTATGACGAGCCACACCTGCAGTGCCATACCATGTGAGATGACGGTTTCTTTCCTTCCTATGCCTCGAAAAACTGCTAGTGCTACAGCTCTCACCACACTCCCACTCCGCCACAGCCTACTCCGCCGCCTGCCCGCCGCCCTCCTTCTCCTTCGCCTTTTGCGCCTTCTTCGCCTCTATTTGCTTCTGCTTCTCCAGCTTCTTCAGCTGGTTCTTGGTGAGCTTCCCATCCCCGGCCGCCTCGCCGCCCTCGGCAGCGCCCTCGACGACAGGCACAACCCTCGGCGCCTGCGGGTTGCCGACCCAGCGGAGGGCGCGGCGCTCCATGAACAGGTCGACCTTCTCGTCCGTGACCTGGCCGCGCCGCTCCTGGAAGGCGGCGACGTACTTTTGCAGCTCCTGGATGCAGATGGCCTTGAGCTCGCCCGTGAGCAGCTTGCCCGACTCGTACTCGAGGCGGATGCGCTCGAGCTCGTCGTCGTCCTCGAGGAAGAAGCGGAGGTACTGGAAGGAGACATCGACGGTGGTGTCGCCGCCCTTTTCGCGGTGCTCCTCGACCGTGACCTTGCCGCCGGAGAAGGCGTACTTGTTGATCTTGTTCTTGATCTGGTTGGGGGTGTCCTTCATGAAGACTGGGGAGGATTAGATCTTGTGTATGGATTGGAGGATGGGGTGGGGGTGTCA